TTATACATGTCTACTCTGAAGTAAGCCCCACTGAGTTTAATGGGTGTTTCTCCTAGGTAAAATGAGCATAGGGTTGTCCTTAATTAAGATCACTGCAGACTATTTGAGCAACAGGCATATCAAACATACCTATCTTTTTAAGTGAGTTCCACTAAAAGGAAGAGTCTTATAAGAGTATCTGCTTTGCCATGGAGAAAACCCAGGTTCAGTCTCTGGCATTTACCCAGATAGGATGGGCAATTTCACCTGTTTGAAACTCTGGAGAGTGGAGACAGTACTGAACTAAATGAAGCAATGTTTTGGTATAAGGCAACTTCTGGTGTTCCTAAGTGTTCCAGGAGGTAGGTTTTTCTGTATCAATTCCTATCATCATCATCATCATCATCATCATCATCATCATCTCCTTTTGTCTTCCTCCTCCACAAATAAGTTTTGTTTATCTAAGACAAATTCATAGATCATTATGTCAGCTGAAGGTATGAATCAGTATATTTCAACCACTGACATTTCACCTTTAATTATTTGTAGATCCAAACAGATGATTCAAACATTTCACCACTCCCACAAAGGCTGTGAAAATACTTCTGTGGGGTGCGGCCATAATATTTGTATGCCACTTATTGTGTCATTCAGCCCAATTGTGTGGGGAATAACCATTCGAGCACCACAGCTTCCTGGAGGTAGCTGTGCTGGCATAAAGCAATTCTACACAAGTGGGTGGCAAATAACCCAGTTGTGTGTAGAATTATTTTTCACTGCCTCAACATGGCCCTGAGGGGATTTCTGTATCTTTAATAGCAGCATAGCAGGAAAAGTCACAGCACGCAGGGCTTTTCTAATCACTTTGCCGCAGTGATATGAAAAATTACACCAGGTGAAATATTCACTTCAATGTGAATCTAAAGTTACAGAAATTTTCTGTAACTGGAAGTTCTAATTACTTGCTTTACCTGGGCAACATATACTGCAGTGGGAGATCCCGTTATCGCTCTCTGTGCCTATACATATATGCCTAAGAGGAAGGCACGCTTGGCAAACCCACACTGTGATCAAATCCTGCCCGGAAACCAATGTCCCCACTGTGGAAGGACGTGTGGGTCCAGAATTGGCCTCCACAGTCACTTACGGACTCATTGTTAAAACCATGTCTATGGAAGACAATCTTACTCGGCTACGAGTGATTGCCAAAGAAGAAGAAGAAAGATGCCCCTATGCTTGGACTTCATGTCTGTGGCACTCTGAAGCAGAGCAGGAAGATAAATTACAGTGGAACATAGGAAAATGCCTTATATTGCATTGGACAATTGGTCCATCTAGCACAATATTGTCTGTGCTGATTGGCAATGGTTCTCCAGGGTTTCAGAGAGGGATCTCTCCCAGCCCTACCTGAGGATTCTGGGGATTGAATGTGGGACATAGCTGTCAACTTTTCCCTTTTCTTGTGAGGAATCCTATTCAGAATAAGGGAATTTTCCTTTAAAAAAGGGAAACGTTGACAGCTATGTGGGACCTTTTGCACGCAAGGCCCTATTGGTGCTGCTGCTACTGGGTGTTGCCCAGTTGGTGTTGCCCTGTGACAGGGCCTTCTCAGTGGTGGTTCTCTATTTCTGGAATGCCCTCCCTAGTGAGGTGTCCCCCTTCATTAACTTTCAGGAGGAATTTGAAAACATTCCTGTTTTCCCTGGCATTTGATGGCTGAAAGTTTCTGTTTCTGGCGGCCTTGAAACTATTGCTGTGAAAGTATGTGACTGTTAAAAGGTTTTTTAAAAAAACATGTTGCTGTTTTATTTTTAATTATATTGTTTTTACACTGATGTTTGCTGCCCTGGACTCCTTTGAGAGGAAAGGCAGGATAGAAATTTAATAACTAACTCAAAAAGTATGTACTCCTTCACTGAAATATGACCCTTCCCATGGCACTGCAATCTTACACAGAAGCAAATCCCATTGAGTTCAATAGGATTTGATCCCAGAAAAGTGTGTTTGTGCCCAAGCCTGTCTTACTCACAGGAAAGTGTGTGCATCTGATATCTCATATTTGCTTCTTCCCCCAGGACTCCAAATGTCTAGATAAATTATCAGAAAGAGATACGTTATTTAGATGTCAAGCAAACCAAGCACAAAGATTTTCCTGTTTGCTCTAGTAACTCTTTGCTTAATCCTAGTTATATCTTAACAGTGCATACATGAATATAATAACCATGTAAACAAAACATGGAGACTGTGACTTTGTTATGTTTGACAGGTTCAGCTCGCTAGGCAGGTAAATCCAGGTCTCACTGAAAGCTGTCAGGAAATAGATGTGAAATAATAAGATGCTTTCATCACCATCCAAAAGGTGAGCTGTTGTTTAGCAATGAAATTAAAGGAGCAACAATTGGAAAATGGGTAGTATAATCTGAATTAGTGTATAAACTGGCATACTCATGCATATATGTCCCACTTTTTCAGTGAGGCAAACTAGCAAAATTCACCACTTGGAAAAGCTCTGCTGGATGGCTACTTGCAGATGTACTGATGGCAGAGAAGTAAACTCTGAAGTAGGCATGATGGTGTAGTCTCATCTGTTTCCAGTCAGATTCAGACTGAGTCTTATGCCACTTGTGCTCTAGCCACCAACGCTCCTCTTTCATCACATGCAGGTCACTAGAATACCAAGGCACTCTATGTGCTCTCTACAGCAACACTGAGGGCAATCAGGAGTGATTGTGTCAATGACTCTATGCATCTTAGCATTCAACAGTGGGACAAGAGCCTTGACAGGAGCACCATCCATATCAGGAATATTAGGAAGACTTTGGGCATAATAAATTAATGAAATCCACAATTGTTTAAACTTAAATATATCAAAGAAATCTACTTCCACATTAATTCATTTAGGACTGCAGTGCAAAGCTATGTTAGCACACTTAGGTAAAAGTAAGCGTCACAGAATCAACAGGTTTTGATTTTTGTAACTAAATTCCCCCAGAACCACTGTAGTGCAGTGGGCCTATGGCTCCAAGCATCAGTGTGACTTAACTCTGACTAAACCTGCCTATAATTTCTATGTCTGGGTACTGGTATTAGTAGCACAATGCACACCAAGGCACTTTATACATTCCTTTATACATTCCAGACATGAGATCTGGTATTGAAAATAGGTTGTGGGCTTGGTTCAGATTAAGTACTTCATTGTTCCTCCTTTTTCAGTCACCACTATTAAAGTCTAACTTAAAGCTAGGTTATATTGAGTCACCTTGAGAACTATCACAGTAGTAGTCTTTAGTGTAGCTATCAAAAAACAAATACTGTAACGACCCAAGGCACACTCCTGAATTGGGGAATATCAGGAATTTAGTAGTCATTTATTTATTTTTAGTGTCTTGCCATAGCAAATCAAAGCAATTTACAATATTTTAAGCAAAACACACACACACACACACACACACACACACACATTAAAAGCAGCAGTTTAGAAAATTGGAAAGACAATTTTATTTTTAAAAAGCTAGATAAAAACAACACACCTATGCAAAAAGGCCACAGATAAATAAAAGCCAAAGGCCTGATGAAAAAGGTATGTTTTTGCCTGGTACCTAATGATGGTGCCAGACAGTGCTCCCCCCCCAAAAAAAATGTTTAGGGGTACTCTCATTTTCCTAAGTGAAACTTAAGATTCACAAAATGTTTAGGGGCATGCGTGTCCCCAGAAAAAAGCACTGGTGCCTGGCAATTGTTGGGGAGAGCATTCCACAAGTGGAGAGCCACCACTGAAAAGGCCTGTTCTTATGTTGCAGCCTTCCAGACCTTGTGTGGAAGGGACACATGAAGGGCCTCAGATTCAGCCAGATCAAAACTTAAGATGTTGTATCTTCTTTAACTCTGGTTCCGGCCAGAAAAACAGTGTTGGAAGTAGAAATATATATATATATAAATTCTAGATACAGCCACTTTATGAGAATGACTGCCTTTTCACTGCAGTTTGTGTTAGTGCTTTAGTCACTGCAGGTAATCCTGTGGATGTCTCAATATTAATTTAGATCTGACACTCGTTCAATAATATGCAATACATGTTGATCCATCCATAAGATACAGATGGGTGTGGTTATCCACCCCTGTTGGAAGACACCAAGAGATTGGTGTGGCTAGATGTTTGGTAGTGATTGGTACAGCTAAATTCACACATGTTCACCTTGAGTTGCCACCTTTTTTCAGGAACGGGCTGTTGCTCCTTTGTAAGCTACACAACATGCAAAAATTCAACAGGTAAAGTTCCCATCAGCTTGCATTGCCAGGGAAAAGCATGACCTACGGAATTCATGTCCACCATGGAGGCTAGGCACCGAAACTCTGTATCAAAAAGAAGTGCCAATCCTTACACCTTCTAGTTAAGACGTGGCCTCTGAAGCCACCCTGAGAGCCACAATTTATAAAGCGCTCTCTACACATTTAGCAAAAAGAACAAAACGCCCCCTCGTTCCCAAAAGCTGCAACCTTTCCTACTTGGAAATAATCCCCACTGAATTTTACTTAGAAGTCCTACTAGCTTCTGGAGTAACGGTGCTCCTTGGGATCAGGATTGCAGCCTTTACTTACTTCCTAGAAACTCGCATATAGGCTTGAGTTGTTGGGAGTTTCTCTTGCATTTCCGGATATAGAGTCTTCGTCGTTCTCTCTGCTGGAGAAGGCCTACACTACAGTAACCCCGTGGCACAGGACACAGAGCACGTGAATTTACGACAGCGCCTCTGAAAGCGCACCACAAAACCCTCCTCTCCTGCGCCTGCAGTTCCACCAGCAGCAGCTCTTTGCCGAGCCCACCTTTGCAGCTCCTCCGCCGCCCCCTTCCCTTCTGCAAGGAAGCAGGAGGAAGAGGCAGCGGAGGGAGAAACCCGCCCGCGCCAGCCTTTCCTTTCTTTCCCTGCACCATTTTAGGCCAGCTCCTCGGGGCGCCCCCGGTGCAATCTGCCCTGCTGCTCCTTGCAACGCTCATTCTGCCGCTCCTTACACAACCCGTTCCCGGCCTCCCCGCCCCCTCCCGGCCCGGCCACTTGCGAGCATTTGACAGAAGGACGAGTCACGTGGCGGCCGGAAAGCGTCTCTTTGCGACCTCAATGACAGGCAAAATGTGCGACAGCCGCTTGCAAGGCAGGGAGGAAGCTGCTCTGGAGTCTCCTCTCCTTCTTTAAAGGCAGGGCTGACTGCTGCCTGGCACCCTTCAGGTCCGGAGTCCTTCTTCCCCGAGCTCCCCAGTAGCCGGGACAGTGGATTTTGGGAGAGGGGAGATATTTGGGGAGAGGCTCCGAGGGGTTTGGCTGAGTTTGGAGTTTTAGATGAGCTCTTAGCCTCCCTTTCTCTCTCGTCCCCCCACCCCCCGCCCCAGCCCCAACTCCCTGGAGCCCGGTTCTCGCCAGCAGCAACCTGCAGGTGCACAGTTCAGATAGGAGGAGGGGACACTACCGGCTGCAATGGCGTCCAACATGGATAGAGAAATGATACTGGCTGATTTTCAGGTAAATTTCAAATTCCACCACATCCACCACTGCCATATTCCGATCATAATCTTTCTCGCTCTTTTTATTATTTTTGTTTTAAAAATGGTTCCTTTTCTCCCCGTTTCTCTGCTTTCTGTGCTTTTGTGGGGAGATTTTCGCTCTGGAAACGTGAGTCCTGCTCTCAGACAGCAGTGGGATAACAAGGAACAACAACAACACTCTGGAGGCTGTTTATCCATTGTATCCAGTTTTCGGTATTCAAGGGGAATAAATAAGACGAAAAAAGCTCCTCCACTTATAAACAAGGCATTTATCTCTGTGCTTCACAAAGGAAAAACCACCTCAGATAATATGCATATGTCTTTGTTTTGTCATGTTTTTTTTTTAGGTTTGTATCCTGATCTCACCGATTCATTCTGACCATCCCTGTGAGCTTTTAATAATAAATTGCAAGGGGCAGGGACTAAGATGCTTTCATTATAAGGGGCTTGCCAAAATTCCAGGGGGCCATACCTGTTTCACTCATGGATATGAGAGGAAAGATGTTAAAGAAGGGAGTAGGGGTGGAAAAGACATCTGGAATGAGAAAATCCACTGATTCCCTTTCCACTAAAATTGATTTTCGAAAACATCCAGTTTCAAAGAGATACGTAGTACTTCTGTAAGAGCTTCACTTCATCCATGGTGTGTATTTTTTGTGATATTTTGATATTCTTCCAGTATAATTTAAGTTAATAAGGCAGTTTCCTTACCAACTTCCTGTCTGAGGAAATTTCCTAACATGAACTTGTTCTGAGTCCAAATAGGATACAGTCCAAATCTGAAATATGTACTTTGTTGTACATATTTTAAAAGTATAATTAGGAAAAAGCAGTGCTCTCTTGTACCATGATTGTTCATAGGTACTGGGATCTTATGTATGTATAGTGTGTATGCATCTGCATAACATTTAAAGATATACATAGTACTCATAGTTCTAGGGACTTATCTTTATTTCTAGGTTAAGGCTAAAACCCAGTATCTTACTAAAAGTGTACCTTTAATAATTTTCTAAAAAATATTTTCACTTCTCCCTTTCTGCATATGAATGCATGCTTTTAAAAACAATAATCAAGGTATATTTAATTTTCTTTTTTATAGAAAGTTGAATGGGTACATGTTTAGTATTAATACTACATATCACTTAACAATGTCAAAAATATAAATTGTAAAATGAACGTAGAATTTTATGATTGACATCCTAGTTCCAAGCAAACTCCTTAGCATGATTATCATAAGTGAGACTTTTAAAGAACATGAGTGAAATAAGTTACACATAAGTATGTATGCAAGGCTGCTGTTCTGGGCACCCTTACTTTTTGTACATAAGTCCCATGGAACTCACTTCAAAGTGAACCTGCAGGGAATTCGGCTAATTAGGAACAGAAGTCAACTTACGACATACAACATACAACATATGTATACTTCAACATTTTAAAGAAAACTCAATGGAAATTGCTTTTTTTGTTGGATCTTAAGAAACCATTATTACATTAATAGAAAACTTACTTGTTTATAGCACTAATAATATTTGAGGTCAGTTTTAATATTTACAACACATTAAAATGTACTGTTAAGATCTCATTCTAGAGGATCAGAAAGTTGTTAATTATGTTTGGAAATTTTCAGAAATTCACTGAGCTTGTTGATATTATTGCCTGTTCTACCTGAGCAGGGAAGTTCTGATCTTGTTGTACCAACTTGGTTCTGAGCTTTTGATTGAAGTCCACATTTACTGTATTTTAAACTTTTATTATATTTTATTAAACATGCATTTTCATGTCTGCTTGTAGAGATGCTCTACAATTGCAGAGAATGTCTGCAAGGAATTAAATACTCTGAATAAATGTGTTGCCAGCTGTAAAGACAGACACCTTATAAATAGACAGAAAAATCTACGTATATTTAATCTTAGTTTTTGAGCTGGCATAAATGTGGCATTGTTTGGCAAGCTGCAATCCTCCTCCATATATACAGTACATTGTATTTTTGGATCAGGGTTTAACTAATGTATCCCAAGCTAGTGTAGGAAGTTTAAAGCTTCTTTCCCCTGCTGCAGCTCTAATTTTGTCAGGTATTTAAATGTGATTTAAGAACAACAATGATGAACTCAGAATTGCCTTAATTATAGTTCTGTAGGTTTATAACTTTCTGAGGTCCATAATTTAATAACAATTTATCATATAGGGTTGTTTCATAATGATTTAGTCATTTTAGGCTTTATTAATCCTTTAAATCACTGTTTTGTGTAATATTGTTGCAGATATAGTTTACTAGTTCTCAGGACTTATTTGGTAATCATTCTCATTTTTACCGATTGCAAAGGTAAGGATTAATGACTTCTCCAAGGTCACCTGCACTTTACTCATAATAACCCTTACATAGGTGTAAACTCCATTGACTTCCAAGTATGTGTAACTAGGACTGAAGCCTTCTTCAGTCACCCTATGCATAAGTACCTAGGAATAATTCCCATTTAATTCAGTAGGATTTGTATCTAAGTTCTGTAAGTGACCTAAGTGGGATGTGAATCTAGGTCTTCCAGGTGCTGGTACACTACTTTGGAAGTTGACCACATCAGGGTTTGATCTTATTCTTTCGGTATTGTTTTAATATGTGTTTTTAGATGGATTACTATGTTTGTAGAGTGTTTTGGTTCTACAGCTTCTAGGATTAACACATGACTTTTTTGTCATGCATTATTAAAAAAAACCCTCAGGATTCCCATATCTCTTGTTGACTGAACAAAGAATGTGCTGAGTTAATGATGTGGCTTCTACAGCACTCATTTGTAAATAGGGGGACAATCAAAATGCTTTCTTGCTGTTTCTGTTTCATGTCCTTTGTTTAAACAGCTATTTTCACAGTGCAAACCTATACATGTCTACTCATAAGTAACCCCCATTGAGTTCAATGGGAGTTACTCCAAGGTAAGTGTGTAATAGGCTCTGCCTGATAATAGCAGATTGTCTTGTTAGTATTTTTTGTACTACAATAGGTCTTATTAGTAGGATAATTCTTTAAATATATATACTATACTATCTCAGCTATGCATAGACCTCTAATAGTTCAAGTGTGGAAGTGTCTTTCCCCACCAGTGTACAGCTAATACGATTTTTTAAAATTGCCAAATATTTGCTTTTTCTGAATTATCAGTGAAATTATTCTAATTGCAGTATACAGACATGAATTCTACACTTGTCCTCTAAAACATGATTTTCTTCTGTTTCTGGATAACAACTGTCTATGAACTATTTCTAAGCTCAAATAATAGAACGTTGCTATAATACTAATGGTTTGTACTTTCAACATTTTCTTTTTGCCTATTTGCAACATGACAAATGTTACTTTAGGGTACAGAAACTTACATCTCTGACTCTAGTACTTAAAGTTGTACTTTGAATAAAACTTAAACAATTTGTTCATAAATGTCCAGCACACATCACAATTTTACCATATGATTACATGCACTTTATTTTCACCTACTTGGGAGTAAGTCCCATTGAACTCATTGGGACTTACTGCTGAGTAGGCATGCCTAGGATTGCACTGTCAAGATTCTAAATCTGATAAGACATTTCTGAATATACTACTTCATTCCCCCACCCCATTCTGTTGCATTGACTTTAATGAATGAGATTTACACACATATTTAACTCTTCCACTGACATCAGTTGGATGTAAAAGTGGTTTACTTTGGTTGGTTCATGTTCTTTATCTTTAAAGATTGCTATGGGATTTAGCTTTTGTCAGAGATGTGATTCCCAAAGGGTTTCTACTTAATAATTCACCTCTGTAACTGGCAGATCAGGGAGCTTGGAAAAAGTAGGATCTTGGCCAGCTTTCTTATGGCTAGCAGGCATAGATTCCTAGTTTGCTCTTGTTTTGGTTCTGTCCAGTGCTTTTTTTTCTAAAAACATGTTTAGGGGTACTCTCATTTTGGCTCAAGGAAATAACATTTTTATAGGTCAAATCGGGAAAAATAAATACAGTAAATGGACAAAAGTACAAAGATTCACAAAATGTTTAGGGGTACAGTGGTGCCCCGCAAGACGAATGCCTCGCAAGACGAAAAACTTGCTAGACGAAAGGGTTTTCCGTTTTTTGAGTCGTTCCGCAAGACGAATTTCCCTATGGGCTTGCTTCGCAAGATGAAAAGTCTTGCGAGTTCTTGCGAGTTTGTTTCCTTTTTCTTAAAGCCGCTAAGCCGTTAATAGCCGCTAAGCCGTTAATAGCCGCTAAGCCGTTAATAGCCGCTAAGCCACTAATAGCCGCTAAGCCGCTAATAGCCGTGCTTCGCAAGACGAAAAAACCGCAAGACGAAGAGACTCGCGGAACGGATTAATTTCGTCTTGCGAGGCACCACTGTATGTGTCCCCCTCCGTCCCCCCAGAAAAAAGCACTGGTTCTGCCCAATTGTGTGGTTTGCATTGGGCTGGTCACCCAAGTCATGTCCCTAAGCACATGACCCATTTAATCTAAACAGCAGGTTGGAATGACCACCAATGTAATAGCTTCGCTGCAGTTGCTATCCAGTTGGGAGATGTGTTAGTGCAAGATCATCCTGTGCCCCGTGTTTCTGCTTAAACTGTACAAGATACTTTGTAATTCCCCTTTCGGCTACCTGCCATGTTGGAAATGAAACACACAGGTGGATTTCCTCCCACTTACTGCCATGTTCTTTCAATTTCATTGCTTTTCTTGATGTGGGGAATGATCCATTAAGAGATAGTCCTGCAAAAGGGTACAGTAAATCAGTAACAAGTCATTTTCACAGTGAGTGCCAAACATTATTTGTAATTCAATGACACTTTGACATGGGTGTCTGCTTTATATAGGGAATAGCAAAACAAAGATTTGGATAAAATTAAGGTAGATTAATAATCCAGTATTGTTTTATTTAGCATAGCTTTGTAAATGGTGTATTTCATTATAATCTCTTTTTTTGGCATTTTCTGCATGTATGTGCTGCACCTATA